TTCTCTATCAAGCTAGCTAAATATGTTTAACCTGTGAATTCCTGCTAAATATGCAGTTATATTACGGGCTGTTTGCATGAATTGTACTCGTGATGGAGCGGCGGTGGAGCGCTCTTGGAGCGAGTGAAAACCACGATGCTCCGACTTTTAAAAAATCCGCTCCTCGCTCCAGTCAAAATCACACCGCTCCGCTCCGCTCACATACTCTGGCCAACATTGCTAGAGAGAATTGCAGCATCAGTGCTTCACAGTGTGATATATTTATTTATTTGTCAAATAAATTCTGTCCTTTTGAACTTTGTATTCATCAAAGAATCCTGGAAAATTAAACGCATGACTGTTTCCACAAAAGTACTCTTTTCAGCAATAATAATAATCAGAAATGTTTTTTTGAGCAGCATATTAGTGTGATTTCTGAAGATCATGTGACACTGAAGACTGGAGTAATGATGCTGAAAATTCAGCTTTGATCACAGAAATAAATTACAGTTTAACAGATATTCACATAGAAAACAGTTATTTTAAATTGTAATAATATTTCACGTTTTTTACTGTATTTCTTTATGAAATACATGCAGCCTTGATGAGCAGAAGAGATTTTTTAGTCATTCATATGGTATGCGTGCTCTGTGCTCTCTGTGTGCTCAAAAACATTTTAGGAGCAGGATTTGGGTCAGTATAATTAGATTTATATATATCAATAAAAATGTTAAGAGTGACATGTCCTTAGAGTTAAACGTGTGTGTGAGCAGAATGACAGTTTCTTAATAGACTAATGCAGTAAATATTTACGTTACAAAAAGCTTTGCCACATAAAAGCTAAAAGGCTCAGAGAGAATAAAAGTTAACCGTTCGGGTTCGGCCCACCCTGCAGTCATTCCTCTGGCTCTATTTCTCTTGGTGAAGTGAGGGGGTGGGATTTCAGACGAGCAGATGTTTCCTTTCCAGCAGTTTTGACAGATTGCATGCGTGTGTGTGTTTCTTTGAGAGAGGGAAAAAACACATAATCAATGCAAGACAAGACCTTTAATATTTTCATGGTGTGAGTGAACAGATGAATGCACATATCAGCAGAAAGCACTGCCAATATCATATCTGAGGGGCAGGGCATGTGATTGAGTGGGCGGAGAAAGAAGCAAAGAAGAGAGATAAAGATGAGGTTGACATGACCTTTGGGCAGGAAGTGACCAGACATTAATGTTATAACTCTGACCCAGCGGAAACGTTATGGGACGACTACTGCAGCTCATTTCTCATGCGCCAATCAACGGTGAATTATTGAGATGCTTCAAATAACTGGTTCGATAAATTCTCTAACCGAACTGACTGAGCTGCTGCTACCGTCTAGTATTTAGATGTTTTTATTTATGTTTAAATCTTTTTTAATTCGATCCATCTGGGTTTTTTTTATTTGATGTTCAGCTGTTTGTTGGTTTGTATGGTTGTCAATATTGCCATCTAGTGGTGATCACCTGAAAACACACACACACACACACACACACATGTTGTGTTTCTATGTTTTATGGGGACATTCCATAGGCGTAATGGTTTTTATGCTGTACAAACTGTATGTGCTATTGCCCTACACCAACCCTACCCCTTACAGGAAACTTTGTGCATTTTTACTTTCTCAAAAAAACTCATTCTGTATGATTTATAAGCTTGTTTCCTCATGGGGACCTCAAAAATGTCCCCACAAGGTCAAAATGTACTAGTATTACTATCCTTGTGGGGACATTTGGTCCCCATAACGTGATAAATACCAGGTACACACACACACACACACACACAATCTTCCTTTACTGTGCTCCTCTGATTCTGCGCGCGTTTTCTTCGTCTTTCACAGAAAGCCGCGAACTCGCGTAATTCAAAAATTAACGGTCATTTATATTCCATTTACCGGCTGACTGACTATATCGATGTCTTCATTTAACAATTACGTAAATATATGACAGTATATCCGTCTCTTGGCAACGCCACTGAAAATACACTGGTATTTTTAATGAGAGAAATTGTGAATAAGTTAATAAATGTTTGGTTGCAGCGCTCCACACCCGCCGGAGCGTCTTCTCTTCATCTCTATCGCTCGTACTGTAGGAGGCGCTGTATAGCAATACGCCTTTGAAGCGTCTAAGCTGCCGCAAATCACACAAGAAGAAGAAGAAGAAGAAGAAGAAAGAGGCGCTGTAACTTTCTTTTGTTCTCCGGTAAAACCACTGAAGAAAGAATAAAGATTGGAGCACTCAGACGGTTAGTGTTTAGTCAAGTTACATCATGTGTTTTAGCTGTTTATGTGCTTGTTGTTTTTCTGTCTAGTGATTTAATGAGCTTAATGAAGCTTTTCATCGACCGCTCGTCTTATGAAAAATAACCATGTTTTTTTTTACTACAGTAACCATAACGTCCTATTGTTTTAATACAGTACCAGGTTTTAACCATTATATTTGTAGTAAACAATAGCTTTTATATTAACACAATTTTCAAAACGAGACACGTAAATGCGTAGAAATCAGACAATATCTGAAGCATGTAATATCACATATTTGATCATATTCCTGCTCTGTGCTGGCTCAATGTTACATTTACATTTAGTCATTCTGCAGACAAAAGCGACTTATAATTGGGGGAATAGGCCTACATAAAGCGATTCAACAGATACAGGAAGTGCTTGTAAATCCAAGTTTTAGGCATTGTTCAAATAAGTACAAGCTAGAAAGGGAAGGAATACATAAAGAGTAATGGGGATGATGAAGATGAAGAAGAAGAAGAATTCATTCCTCCAGGTGTGTTTCTTCCTTTTATGACCAGATATGCTGAGTTAACAGAATTGGTATTAAAACCCCTTAAAGGCACAATATGTAAGTTTTTTTTGTTTGTTATAAATATCCAAAAACCACCTGCACCATTTGATATATTTCATGCAGTTGTGTACTCTCGTTATTCCAAAAGTTCCCAAGGATTTGTAAATCCAGAGAAATTCAAATTTTAAATAATGACTCGTTCCTGTTCCTCCCTAGTCTTTTCGACAGTTAAGAGGTTAAACTGTAAAAATATTTTGTATGTGCTGGGGTGGCAGCTGCCATTATAAAAATGAGCCTTGCCACCCCAAAGCAGAGTATGTGAGCAGAGGGGACTGGGACCAGATAATTTCTTAAAAGCCGGACACAGATAGATCATTCAAGTCTGAAAAGTTTAGGAGGTTATAGTTCCGAAAGATTTTATGGTTGTTGTTTCCGCGGGCCCTTAAAAAGTCTTCAATTTAGTCTTATCAAATTTAAGTCGTCCATAAAAAGTCTTAATTATAATTTTAAGGAGTCTTAAATTTGGGGATCAGGAACTGCGTGGCTTAAAGGGTCGTGAAAATCCCGTTTCAGCACTGGTTAGTCCTCACCACATTTTTAAAAAAAGGATGTTATGTAAATGTCACTCAGAAGGGAACCGACTGTCCGAATCTGATGAAGTAGCGTTTATGAGCACATTGTTCTTCGTGTACAACCATTACTGGGGAAACCACTGCGTTTCTGCCGTTCCAAAAGTGCCACCAACTGGCAGAGAATGAATTTGCATATTCAATTTTTAAGTTTCCATTTCTTGTTCAGCAAACACGCAAATTTGTAACTGCGAATGGGTGGATCGCGAGAATTTAAAGGAATAGTTCACCCCAAAATGAACATTTTGTCATCATTTACTCACCTTCATGTCATTCCAGTCCTGTATAACTTTCCTGTGTTGAACACAGAAGAAGATATTTTGAAAAATGTTGGGATCCGAACAGTTGATGAACACCATTGACTTCCATAGTATTTTTTTTCCTACTATGGAAGTCAATGGTGCTCATCAACTGTTCGGATCCCAACTTATTTCAAAATATCTTCTTCTGTGTTCAACAGAAGAAAGAAACTCATACAGGTTTGGAACAAGTGGGGGGTGAGTAAATGATGACAGAATTTTCATTCTGAAAGTGAACTACTTTAACAACCAGACACATCTGGGGCGGCAAATTCTGTTCAGGCATTACAAAGATTGCAAATATGATCTATTTACATATACCTATGTGTAATGTAAGTCATGTTCATTGAATAATATTACTTTATTCTTTGCTCCCCCAATTAGCCTTAATTTGGCTTAAATATATTTAGTGCTATTGAACTGAACTGAGAGCAGCTTCTGCTCTGCCTCAAACTGACTTCAACAGTATAGGCCCATCAGGAGACTATTCCTGCTCAAGGGCTCTCTTATGTTTACACATACTTGCTTTTATCCAAAGCAACTTGCATTGCATTAACATAGCCTATGCATTTCTGGGCATGTTTATGCATTAACTGAGAACAGACTTTGCCCTGAACTGCTGCTGCTCAAATGCCGTCAATCCTGAAAATGCCAGTGCAATAATGCATATTTTGGTTTCAAACATTGAATTCAATTTTCACTTAAATTAAACTGGAAAGTGGAATTATGCATTTTCACGATTAACGGAAATACCGATTTTATGTGTCAAACCTAGCTGCCACCCCTCATTATGCTCTTGCCATTCCAATTATAAAAGACTGAACAGCAATTGTTGTGAATTCTGGCAATCTGAGAAACTGAGAACAGCATATTGTGAGCTGCACTTGTATAAAATACCACAGCGCCGCACATCAGATTTTGTATTTATTTAAATCACAGATTTTGCCGTTTGATAACCGCAATTTCAGTTTTATCTTGACTGATCATTCAGCTCTAGAATTTATAGAAAAAGTTAGATATTTTATGCAAATGTTGTTCCTTTAAGTTGACAGCGCTGGCTCATCTTCTGAGGGAGAAACTGCCTCCACATCCAAAGAGCAAAGGACAGTGACGGTCTGTGGAGAAACATTGAGCCAACACGGTCATTTAGCAACACATCAGAGAAAACACACCGAACAGAAAGACTTCAGCTGCAACATATGCAACATCAGTTTTCCGACCTTCAAAGAGAGAACACTTCATTCAAAAGAGCACAGCGTGAAGAAGGAGTTTCGCTGTGAACAGTGCGGGAAGGATTTTTTCACCACTCCTTATAATATGAAAGCTCATATAAAGACACACGAAGAAAAGTCTCTCCAGTGCAACGAATGTAGCAAGTTTTTCCGCAACCAACGAGATCTTTCAAGTCATAAGAGAATTCACACGGGTGAAAAACCATACAAGTGCCCTCAATGCGAGAAGAGCTTCAGCCAGGGATCACATCTGAAGAGACATCTACTCACGCACAGCAATGAGAGACCGCATCAGTGCAGTGAATGTGGAAAACCTTTTAGAAGCTCAGCTTCTCTAAAGTTACACCAAAAAATGCATTCTGATGACAAACCGTATCAGTGCCCTCACTGCGAGAAGAGCTTCAAATATGGAAGCAGTTTGAAGAACCATGTATTAATGCACACCAATGAGAGGCCGTATCAGTGCAGTCAATGTGGGAAAACTTTTACAAACTCGGCTTCTCTAAAGTTACACCACAAAATGCACTCTGATGACAAACCGTATAAGTGTTCACACTGTGAGAAACGTTTCTATCATTCGACTCACCGGAAAACCCATGAGCGGACTCACACCGGAGAGAAACCGCACCTGTGCTCCGACTGCGGAAAGAGCTTCGCTAGTTCATTTGCTTTCAAAATTCATCAGAGAGGTCACACTGGAGAAAGACCGTATCCCTGTAGTGATTGTGGGAAGAGTTTCTATAAGCTAAGTGATGTAAAAATACACCAGAGGACTCATACAGGAGAAAAACCTTTTAAATGCTCACATTGTGACAAGACTTTCGCTATATCAAGTTCCCTGAAGATCCATGAACGAATGCATACTGGAGAGAAACCTTACCGCTGCTCCATCTGCGGCGAGAGATTCGCTTTTAAATGGGGTTTTCAGACGCACAAGAAGAAACACGCTGCCCCACAATCATCATAGCTTCATCATTAATCAGTAATTAGCAGGGGCAGACTGGACACTGTCGATCCATCCGTCGGCCTAAGAAAAAGTGTCAGATTAAGTGACGTTGACGGCCGACAAAAGGGGGCGCTAATGCAATCTATTTTTGCTTATAAGAAACTGAAACTGAAACTGACGCGAAGGAGAGTGGGCTTGTGAGTCGTGATGGCAAGCAAAAGACGTGAAGATAAAGGCGGCTGGGAGAAGCTAAAAGGAATAAAAGTGAACAGTTACATCAGGTTACCTTTGCCCGCCTCTCTCACTATAGAGCATGTAGCTTATAGCACTATAGTAAAATCCCAGGACACCCTAGTCCGAGCGTCCACTGCTATTCATCACTCTGCATTGTCTGGCATGAATATTCCATTCCTTCATAAAGAGACGTTAGTGATTCTACAATGGGTAACATTTGAGAGATAGAGTAAATGAAGTAGCCTATAAGGTGATTAGTCTGATTGACATGACACACACACACGCAGACACACACACGCAGACATATGAATACTCAAATTGAGGAATTCTGTTGTTTCAGGTTTCTAGATTCTAGGTTTATGTTTATCATTAACACATTTTGCATTCTGCTCTTTTCATGTAGATTTCAAGTATTTTAATTCATACAATAGGCTAATACATTTATTTCAATCCTCTTTTGAAAAAAAAAAAAAAGAAAGCATCACATAATTTGTAATGGTTTTACTGGTTGTAATGAAAATTGTAATGATGAATGATGCATTTATATAACGCTTTATTGTGTATTAATTGTGTGTATATTAATGGCGCCTGTTGGTCTCTACTGGTAATTGGTCACCTTCTATTCATGGCTTTTGTTAAAGCCACTAAATTCTAATGTAATATGTCCCAAAACACACTGCAGGAAACCATTATTTAATGGTTAAAAGTTGATGGTTTGCAATGTTTGTAATGTTATTTGTAGTGGAAATCATTTGAATTTCTATGATGATTTCTATTGTTTTTGTCAGCAGGGTCACCATGGGTTTTGTCATGTTATTGGCCCTAAATGCGATAGGATTGCTGTAATAATGTGAGATAGTAGCGACTGTCTGTAGTTGTGGTGGGTCTATTTGTGAGAAAATCCAGGGCCGTTTTTTACTTCCAGTCTGTCCCTGGTAATTAGTTTCAGGTTTTGTAAAAAAAAAAATTTTAAAAAAATGCAGTGTTACACGAACATTGTTTGTTTTGTGGTTGTGTAAAAAAAAAAAAAAAAAAATTCTGTCATTGTGTAATTTAATTGCAGTGTAATGCAATTAAAAGTGCAAGATTGGTCTCTGTTTGTATCAGGTAGCATGCGCTTGTGGCTGACTTGCTTTATTTCTTCTTTTATAGTAAAAATACTAAAACATTAATATTGTGAAATATTATTCCAGTACAAAACTCACTGTTTTCTATTTGAATACACACGATCCTTCAGGAATCATTATAGGCTCATGTGCTGCTGGAAATTTCTATTACAGTTGAAAATGCTTGTGCTGCTTAATGAAGTGTGGAAACTGACATTCAGTGTTCAGGATTGACGAATATCAACCGAAATTGCGTAGAAAAGCCCTTATTTCAAATATAAATAAAAATGTTCTCTGTAATAACTTTACAGCTAAAAAATATAAAACCAGGGTTGTGTGTGTGAAAAGCATACAAAAAGCCTATATATATATATATCGTTTTTTTGTATGCTTTTATATATGAGTTATATATATTTGAAATCGTATTCATATATTTTTTTTAAACACACACACACATACATCTTCATTTATTGTGCTCCTCTGATTCTGCGCGCCTTTTCTGCTGTCTTCCACAGAAAACCGCGAACTCGTGTAATTCAAAAACTAACGGTCATTTCTGTTCCATTTACCGGATGACTGACTAACATTCAGTTATCGATGTATTTAATAATTTCGTAAAGATATGATAGTATATCCGTCTCTTGATAACGCCACTGAAATACATTGGTATTTTTAATAAGAGAAATTAGGTTTTGAATAAAAAAAAAAAAAAAAAAAAAAAAAAAACATTCTGTCATTGTGTAATTTAATTGCAGTGTAATGCAATTAAAAGTGCAAGATTGGTCTCTGTTTGTATCAGGTAGCATGCGCTTGTGGCTGACTTGCTTTATTTCTTCTTTTATAGTAAAAATACTAAAACATTAATATTGTGAAATATTATTCCAGTACAAAACTCACTGTTTTCTATTTGAATACACACGATCCTTCAGGAATCATTATAGGCTCATGTGCTGCTGGAAATTTCTATTACAGTTGAAAATGCTTGTGCTGCTTAATGAAGTGTGGAAACTGACATTCAGTGTTCAGGATTGACGAATATCAACCGAAATTGCGTAGAAAAGCCCTTATTTCAAATATAAATAAAAATGTTCTCTGTATAACTTTACAGCTAAAAAAATATTAAACCAGGGTTGTGTGTGTGAAAAGCATACAAAAAGCCTATATATATATATATCGTTTTTTTGTATGCTTTTATATATGAGTTATATATATTTGAAATCGTATTCATATATTTTTTTTAAACACACACACACATACATCTTCATTTATTGTGCTCCTCTGATTCTGCGCGCCTTTTCTGCTGTCTTCCACAGAAAACCGCGAACTCGTGTAATTCAAAAACTAACGGTCATTTCTGTTCCATTTACCGGATGACTGACTAACATTCAGTTATCGATGTATTTAATAATTTCGTAAAGATATGATAGTATATCCGTCTCTTGATAACGCCACTGAAATACATTGGTATTTTTAATAAGAGAAATTAGGTTTTGAATAAATCTCACACCAGCGGGAGCGTCGTTTCTTATCTTCATCTATCGCTCGTACTGTAGGAGGCGCTCTGACGATCGTTAGTTCTCCGGTAAAACCACTGAAGAAAGAAAGGAGACTGAGCACTCAGACGGTAAGTGTTTTAGTCCGTTTACATGATTCATGTGTTTTTGCTGTAGCCTACTATTATTTCATCCTTCCACACAAAATTCGCGATTCAAAAAGCTG